TGGTTTCGCGGTGATCACGCTATCTCTTGACTAGATCATCTAAAATCAAATCGTGAAGAAGAAATCGTTAGGTAATAATATAATGCGGTACTTGAACGAAGGGATTTAAAAAATTTTGATTTTTCGCAAAATGGCGGATGTTGAAAGTCAAAAATTGTTTTTTGACCAAAATTTTACTCACATTTTCGGCTTTACAAAAAAAAATTATTGTCAAAAAAAAAATCCTTCGTTCAAGTACCGGCCAACTATATAACAAATAAGTGGTAAAAATTTAAAACCGATCGGTAAAGCCGTTCTCAAGTTACAGTGATCACCGACTCCCAAAACATGGTTTTGAGAAAAACGAGTTCAAAGTTTTGAATACCGCCGCCTGGCCAAAGTAACGGCTGAGTCGGCTGCATTCAAAATTCTATATCTCCATAAATAATAGTCCGATTTGTCTCAAATTTTCAGAGAATACTTTTGAAATGGTATACTTTTAGAAAATGCATTTTAAAAAAAATCGATTTTTTGAAAATCCTAAGTGTACGTAACCCCTTAATATATTTACCTAGATGATAGCAATAACCGCATCCACAATAACCATTATAGTGTAGACAATTTCTTAAAATAGCTCGCGCAACAGAATCTGCGACAACAAAAATTAGAGTGAAGTACAGATATTCTTCAAGATCCTTATTTGGAAATTTTAGTTTTATCCCTTTTGAACATAAATTAATTACTTGTTTTGAAAATTCATCAATATATGCATTCATTAAGGCAGGTTTTGGTTCAGTATTTACAACCATCATGCCACCTAATAATACAAATTTATGTCTCATAGCTGGTGGTAAATTATTTAACATTATTTGCAGAGGCCAAAAATTTCTTTTAGATACTTGAAATAATGGTGCATCGTCTGTACTTGCAATGTAAGTTACATGATTTGGACACTTTTGAATAGCTTTCTTATACAATAAACTATCATCAATATCTCGAATAATATTTGTGTCCATTAAACAATCATTATCAGCTTCCTTTTTTATGAAATATTGTCTGAGATCTTCTTTCTCGAGTAACGTTTGAATTTGATATTCTAAATCTACAGTGAGGAAATTATTATTATTGCTAAGATTCATTATATAATCTTTTTTGCATTCGAAGCAAATCATTGTCTGACCTTTTATATTTGGTTTCATAGAAGAATCTAAAACATTCATACATTGCTCACAATAAAAATGAAATTTTACTTTCTCTGGTGGTATATCGAAAATTTTCGAAATTTTGTAATTAGGGGAGAGTCTCCAGTTGTGAGACGGGTTTCATTTTTGACCCGTAAATTGTAAACAGGTAAACGAAATTGTAAATAAAATACACCGTTCGAAAGGTAACAGAAATACGCAACTTTTATTAAAAGAAAGTATAGTGTTTCGATGAACTCAAAAAATTTTACGATACATTTTCCGAGCACATCGCTTTTTTAAAAAAAAAAAAATGTCTCCAGTTGTGAGACACTCATTAAAAATTGCTAAAATTTAATAAGTTTGACATAAAACGTTATGTTTAGTAGAAATAATTAAATATATTAATAATATATATTATTATATACTAAATAATAATATTTATTCGCCAAAATATGAATATCAAATAAACACAATTTAATAGCTTCAACAAGAGCATTAAAATTGATTTCTTCTGAATCAATTAACTTTTTTCCACTTGACATGCCCAAAAATACTAGAAAAAAAAATCAAAACAACATTTAAATAGTATCCCTGCAAAGTCGTATTTTTTATGCTGCCCAGATGGGTGTTGACACCGTCTCACAACTGGTGATATGCTGTGTCTCACACCCAGAAATTGGCGCTATTTTGAAAAAGGAAAATTAAATCATTTTCAACCGTCGATTGGAACAATGCAATATTGCATAACAAAATATAAGGAAAACACTAAAAGAAAATGCATTACATTTACCTTTTCCAATTAATTAACTTGGAAAAAAAGTACTTTGCATTTATTGAAAAAACGCTTTTTAGTCGATTGTCACACACAGTGTTGGTATTTAACAAAAACAGTTAATATATCCGCTTCGGCGTACACGAAAAAGTTGGCTCATGTAAAAAGAAATGTTTTTATATAAACCAATCGGATTTTTAATATTGCATGTTAAAAAAAATTGACTGTCTCACAACTGGAGGTGTCTCACAACTGGAGACTCTCCCATATATTTAAATTTTGAAAATCAGGCCCAGCACAAATTTTGAACATTTCTAATAGCATATTACGTGACTCTAACGAACCGCCAAACCTTAAATTATAGGCAACAACCATTTCCAAAACGTCATTAACAGTTTGACCTGATGCACTGAACATGATTTTATGTTCAAATTCATTATCCTCTTCTGGTAATGATTGCTGTGAATATGAATCGTTCAAGTTCTCGAAATTCGAAATATTCTGTATATTCTGTTCCTGGATTTCTTCATCACTGTCAGACGAAGAGCTGGTATAAAAATTGTCGGGATGCAATTCATCCAATTCCTGTTGAAGTGCAGGAGGTTGCTGCTCTTCGCTACATGATGTCGCATTCTTATCAAACTGTTGAGCTAGAAAAATAGAAATGAAAAAAACTGAATAAAATATGTCTATTTTTGTCTAAATATTGTGTATGAAAGTGTAGATTAATAATACTGAAAAAATCAGGACTTTTGCCGAAATAATAAATTGAGATTATCTCGAAAACTAGAACAGAAAAATAGGCCTATTTTGATGCGCACGACCACATATATCTTTAAAAAGATTTCTATGTTTTAAATATTAAATAAGTAACCTTATATAAACAAACATAATTACAGAAAAAAATTTTTTTTTAATTCCTTATTAGAAATAATATTACTTTTGTTTTGCACTTTCCGGTTTTTTTTCCCAAGCTCTTTGAGTCCTTTTAGATATCATCCCCGTCCTGTAATCGGGATCTAATGGTAAGTTGTGGAACCTTTTCCTCTTCCTTTCATCCATGACTAAAATTAAAGAAAATTTTAAATGTAAATTATACATGGTTATAAATTTATATTTTACATTATTTTTATATATCTTATTATATCCCTCGGAACACATACAGGGTCTGTGTAACCTTGCCTTTTAGTTTGAACTTAAATTTCTTCAAAAAATTGTAACAATTGAAGGGCTACATAAAATAAGGGGACGAACGCGAGGCTTGGAAGGGATACTACCAGTCGGGTAGCAGTGACAAGCCTTGAGCGGCTTGCTGCTACCTGACTGATATTATCCCTTTCAACCACGAGTTCGTCCCCTTATTTTATGTAGCCCTTCAATTGTACATGGGCCAAATCAAAAAAATTGTTTAAATCTTGTCCTGGATAATTAATAATTTCGTTGTTAAAAATTTATGATTTTAAATACAAACATCTTACAGAGTATAATTGGCCATAACCTATAAAACAACACCCCAAAGCACCTATGGCGAGTGACGCGTACTATATGTTTGGTCGCTAGCGACTTGAAACATTCACCATTTCGACACTAATTAATTATTAGCCCTATGATTTTCCAGAAAACTTTTTTGGATCATAATAAACAACTTTCTCACTGAAAGTTATCTGTTACTCAAAATTCGTCCGTTAAACGAGAGCTGTGAAGATTGTAGTTCAAGATTTTTACAGTATTAAAGAAAAAAATTAATAACAATTTTGTTTATAAAGAAAACAACTTTTTTCTTTTTTTATCATTCGTAGAATGTACTTTAAAATGTATTTTATTTTTTGTTTCATTGAAAAATTTTTAAAATTGTTTGAAATATCGCGAGTTGAAATGAAAAATGTCATTAAATTTACATTTTTAAAAAAAACTAGTTTTTCCCAAATATTTTGAAAACGGTAATAGATAGAACAAAATTTCACAAGAAAAAAAGATGTACAATGAAATTTTCTATAAGGATGTGTATTAAAAATATTTAAATTCAGAAGTTGAATTTTGAGTGTTCAGGGGAGTTAGATTTCGACCGAGAAAAATATGCGTGCTCTTTTACGATACGGCGAATCAAAATTTTTAAAATCTATTTCATTAGATATCAAAAAAATAGTCTTAAATATTCATATTCTAAAACGTTTAACATTCTAAATAATATGTTATTATTATTTATCAGGAAAATTCAGTAATTAAATAATTAAACTAACTAAAAATAGAAAATTAAATATAGCTATAAACTTTTTTGTATAACTTTATTTTCTTTCAAAAAGTTGTCAATTTTTTTATTTTTACCCATATAATATAGAGGTTTTTATGTAAAAACAACACTTACCTGAATTATCAGGATTATAAATATAATGATATTATTTATGTACTTTAATTACATATATTTTTCTCTAGTCTTCTTGATATACACATATAAAAGACGGTTATTTGCGTACCTCCACGTTTTCTTAGTCAATTCGGAAATAGACTAAGGTTTTTATAACATTTAATTGGCTATTCTCATAGAAAATTTGCAATTGTGGAAATTTTTTAAAGTTCTCTATGGGAAAGCCAATCAAAATTAGTCTAACCTATAAACGTTTGCGGCGTTTCCGCAACACTCAGAAAGGGGAAGAATTAACTGTTAGACGTTCGAAATGTGCATACAAGTTTACGTTAGCCATTATAATCATGCTTAATATCTCACATGTCACTTCTGAAACTCGCTTTCGATTTACCAAAAAGCAAACGAAAATGCAAAAGTGAGTTAGACAAATGACAAAACAGTCTTGCGCAGAGTATTTGCGAAAAAAAGTAGACTCGCGCTGAAGAGAAGGCGCTCGCACAGCCCTAGTGCCTGCATGAGAGCAAGAGAGAAAAAACATTAAATTTGAATTTTCTGACTTCTTTACTCTCATGTGTTACCACGCCAACTATGCCTGTCTTGACATGCATGCAGAGCTGTGCGATCGCCTTGATAGTGTGCTTGAAACCTGTTGAGTTTTTTGCAGTTTTTGATACGTGTGTTTACTTTTAAAAAATATCAGTTAAGTGTTTTTATATTCAAATAAATATTCATTATCACAATCAGTATGGAAAATAAATATGTTGTGATGTTGGAATGTGGGTCAGAAAATTGTCACACAGTCCCATTAAAATCTGTTCATCATTTCGATGAAAAAAACACGAACGATTCAAATCATATAAATTTGATGTAAATGATTCCGTCTTGTACGGAACTGTCAATTTTATTGCAAGTAAGTATTATATATAAATTCAAAATAAACATTTATTTCATAGTTTGAGTGTAAAGTTCTTTCAATAAAAAGATGTACTTTGTCAATAAAATTAATAGATTTATTAACTTGCTTATGACCACGTGGTTGGTATTTTCAGAAATAACTTTTTTCTTCCCTTGAATATTAACATTTATCTTCTAAATCATATGATATGTTTTTCCGTTTCAGAAAGAACTTTATTTATTTATTTATTATTTTCTTCAATAATTTTTTTTAAATTTAAAAAAAATTATTAAAATAATATTTTACATAATTAAAGAAAATAAATATCCATTTAAAATATTTTAAATTAAAACTTTGTTTCATATAATTACTAAATTCTAATTTTGTATAAAAACTAATATTTTCACAAAGTAATTAATAACATTTTAACATTTTATTTCTTTTCTTTGGAGAAAAAAAGCTATGCGAGTGACATATGGACTGTAATTTTCTTTCTCATATACAGCTATCTTTAAAAAATATAATGGGCTAATGTTTTTTAATTAAATATTTTTTGTAGCAAATATATAATAGTAATATAACAAATAAAATAATTAACTATTAAAATTAAAACAATATTTTAAAATGCTAATTCAATTAGAAATAATAAATTCAATATATGAAACGACAGCTGAACTTATTAAATTCTTTTATTTTAGATTCATTAAAGGAAGTAGAGGATATTCTGAAAAAAATAGAAGAGTAAGTAAACCATGTGCGAAATTTCTAATTCCTCCAATAGACACTAGCGACACCGAAAACGATGTTCCTGATCCTTCAATAGCTAACAACAATATGAAAAAGGTAATTTTATTCTTGTCATATTTGAGATTTTATTCATTAAAAACCTCGCGAACACAAAATAGCCTTAGTTGGCGGTAATAAAAATAGCACATTTTTTCTCGAATAAAATAAGAGTTTCTTTCAAAAAGCATGAATTCAATTTGTTTCATAATCATTAATTTTTTTTGACATATTTTAGACTAAAAATTATTCATCAGTGACATTTTAATTAAGATTTATGTTTTGTAAAATCATTTTTTTATAATATATTTTGCTTATTATACTATTCAACAATAATTTTTTAAATATCTTTGTTTAACAATTCAATTTATAGATCGAGAAAAGTCTACAAAATAGACTCGACAAAATAAAGAAAATAAAGGAAGAAAATGTAAATAAAATTACTAAAAATAGTACAGATTTACTTCCTGTGGAGAAAACAAAGAATTCAAATGATCACGCTAATCTCTCAAAAGTACCTCAAAGTAAAAAGTATAAAGTCGATCCTGCAGAGACTTCAGTAAGTAAATATAATTCTTTTCTCTAACAGAATGTGTAAATCATTGTTTTCCATTAATACATCATTGTTTTGGTTATCGTAACAAAAGTGAAGATCATTATTTTTAAAAAATTATATTACAAATAAACTGTTTTTTTTTATTTTCAAAAATATTGCATATAGATATGTATAATTTTTATAAATAAGTTTAGTTTTCTTAAAAGTGGATGGATAAAAGCGTGCACGGTATTGGGCAGTTTTTGTTCAAAAATAGTAAAATTAATTTAAATTGTTAGATATTCTGCTGCTATAGAAAAGACTTAGATTTCAATTTTAATTGTAATAATTAAAATTTTTCTGAAATTAGCTAAACTTTTTAAAATAAAGTTAATTAATTATTAAAAATAATAGATTTAAAGAAAAATTTTGGTTAAGAACACTAAAAAAATCTAATTTTTGAGAAGTTAAAAATGACTGCAGAAATTCAATTACTTCAAAAAGTAATAAAATTCTCCACATATTAACAATTGTGTACAAAATTTTTTAAAAATTCTCACCAAAATTTCAATTATCCTTAAAAATAATAAAATTTTATCACTAAAAAAATAGTTATCGATGCCAACTTCAGATACCTAAATTTGTCTGAAGTCAATGATTTTCAAAATCTACTAATTTAATAACATTTTTCAAAATAATTTAATCATTTTTTAATATTTAATATTATATTATGTCTATAAATAATACAAAGATCACAGAAACTTCACTACTTATAAATTTTTTTAAACAATAATCCAATTATTTTCATAAATAATAAAACTCATCGTAGAATTTCAATTATTTTTAATACAATTTTAATCGCATTCCACGAAAAATATAATTATTTTTGAAAATTTTATTAAAATCTTTGAAGATTTTAATTTTTAAAAATTTTAACTAACAATTTTGTAGAATTAAATTTTTGAAAAAGTTTATTTGAATTTTCTTTTAAAATTATGAATTATAATTCATAATTGATTTATTTTGAAGAATTTTAATAAAACTTCTGAAAATAATTACATTTTTCGAGGAATTCAGATAAAATTGTGTTAAGAATAACACAGCCACACAAAAAAAAAGTTCTGATCTGGGGGTCTCACTATGTAGGCTTTATGTTTTTTGGGTCGCTGAATCCGAATCCGAGGTCCATTTAACCTCATCAGATCAGGATTTTGACATAACCTCAAAAAACCAATATGGCGGACACATTTTTGAAAAGTTCATTGGATTCGCTTCAAATTCGTTACTCGGGGGTTTTTGGGGTCGCTGATTACGAATTTGAAGTCTGATTTCAAAAATTCAAAATGGCGGATCCAATATGGCTGACACATACATATTGGATCCGCCATTTTGAATTTTTGAAATCTGACTTCAAATTCGTAATCAGCGACCCCAAAAACCCCCAAGTAACGAATTTCAAGCGAATCCGATGAATTTTTCAAAAACGTGTCCGCCATATTGGATCCGCCAATTTTGAATTTTTGAAATCAGACTTCAAATTCGTAATCAGCGAACCCAAAAACCCCCGAGTAACAAATTTGAAGCGAATCCAATGAACTTTTCAAAAATGTGTCCGCCATATTGGTTTTTTGAGGTTATGTCAAAATCCTGATCTGATGGGGTTAAATGGACCTCGGATTCGGATTCAGCGACCCAAAAAACATAAAGTCTACATAGTGAGACCCCCAGATCAGAACTTTTTTTTTTGTGTGGCTGTGTAATATGCACACTATTATTTAATAAATGTATAAACTGTTTCATTTTCTAATAAAAATTTATATTTTTCTTTACTTACTTCATAAATTAAAGTTCAGTTGTTATTTATTAAATTCATTTTAAAATACTTTTTATTATTTGAAAAATGTTTATTGATAAAGAATTAAAAATATTATTGTTTATATTCAATCCTTAAAATTTTCAATTCCATTTAATTCCGTTTCACGTTTTACTTGAACGGAATAAAAAAGAATTCAAGTTGGCTGCTTTCTATTCTTTACGTAGAGTTACGAAATATAGGAAAAATCAGGTATTAAATGGAATTCATTTTTTTAATTCCACTCAATTTCAGCATTCTTGCCGGGACGGGAAAGTACAGCAAAGTATAGGAGAGTAAAATAATACTTTTTTTAAAAATATTAAATGAGGCTTCAGATCTTAAAAGGGCACTTTCCGCATAGACTTTATATGGTGAAAGTGCCCTTTTAAATCCGGAGCCTCAAATATGGAAATTAAAATTCTGAATTTTTGGAGTTCGGTAAAGTACGGGAAAGTACTGCAAAGTATAGGAGACTAAAAAAATAACTTTTGTTGGGAAATATTGAATTAGAAAATTAAAATTCTGTATTTTTGGAGTTCAGAAAAGTACGGGAAAGTAATTGGTCGAATAATTCAATATAAATGCATAGAAAGTTGAAATAAACTATTGAAAATAATAAATGGAGTATTAAAGTATAAATTTATCCAATATTTAGGGTAAATTGTGTTGTACATAATTAAATATTAATGTCTAAAGTGTAAAAGTGCTAATATGACAGTTGAAATAGTGTGTGAAATTTATTAATTTGTAATGAAAATAAGAATAAAATGCTAAAAAAAGCCATCAATATATATTTTTTGATATTTAATGTATTTAATTTATTACATAGTTTTCTTAATTATTGCATATTAACAATAAAAACATTAATTAAAATAATAAATTTTTCTTCCAATGTAAAGTGTCGATAACATGGAGTGTAGAGAAAGGTAGCCGCGCTCAACACACGCTAGGTGGCAATACTCACAATTTCCTTGTCTGAATATTTAGTTTACAATTTAATTAAATACCATTAAAATAGAATAAATTATCAAGAAAACTAAAGAGTCAACGATAGAAAATATTTATTTAATATTCATGATTAACATTTATGCACGATTTATTATAAAACATTTTGAAAACAATTACAATTCTTTGTATATGGGCAATTCCACATAAAATGTCACTCGAATTTTAAATTATTGTATATGTAACAGCTAAACAAACGCGCGCTAAAGCGCGCGTGTAGGTTCTCTTAGTATCAACCCAGGTTAAAATCCCCGTACAGGATCCTTAAAGGATCCTCTCGGGATCTTGTGCAGGTCCTGTGCAGGATCCCGACCGGATCCCGTGCAGGAAATTGGGACAAGGTTCCTGTGCAGGTTCCGATGCAGGAACCTTAGCTATCAAAGGTTCCTGTAAAAGTTCCTGTACAGGAACACTTGCAGGATCATGTACAGGAAACTTTGTAAAGGTTCCTGCACAGGAACCTTTACAGTTTTGTAAACTGCAGGTACTTAAGTATAAAGGATCCTGTAAGGAACCCGTAAAGGATCCTACACAGTTTTCTCAATTAATTTATTTATATCTTTAACTTTTGCGCAGTAGTTTTCTATGAGTTTCTTGAATGCGCAATACATTTTTCTGTCCAACATTGTTATACGAGCCTAACATATTGAAACATGAAGTCTATGTATGTCAAATGTTGCTTAACATATAAAAATTAAAAAAAATTAAAAAGTTTCATGTACATGATCCTGAAAGTGTTCCTGAACAGGAACTTTTACAGGAACCTTTGATAGCTAAGGTTCCTGCATCGGAACCTGCACAGGAACCCTGTTCCAATTTCCTGCACGGGATCCGGTCGGGATCCTGTGCAGGACGGGTACGGGATCCGGTCGGGAACCTGCACAGGACCTGCAAAGGATCCCGAGAGGATCCTTTAAGGATCCTGTACGGGGATTTTAACCTGGGAATAGATAACACAGTGCAACACATAAAATGTGCACTAAGTTTTGACTTCAGTTTATGAAAGTACTTATCGAAACTAGCAAAAACCTATTTCAGTTTTGCTAGATTAGCTCGGATTTAAATTTTATCGACATTTGAATTTTTTTTTTGAATTTTCACATTTTTCAGTTTTCTGACACGGGCTGATGGGAACACTGGCTATAAAAAGTTTATTAAAAAAATTCGCAATGGTCACAATTTGAAAAGCAATAATCCCTCTTTAATTAGAGAAAAAGAAAAAAAAAATTGGTCAAAAATTGTTCGAGTTATGAATTTTTTTAACTTTTTCACATTTTTCGGTTTTTTGATAAAGCGGGTGGAAACGCTGGCTATTAAAAGTTTATAAAAAAAATTTGCAATGGTCACTATTTGAAGAGCAGTAATTGCTGCCTAGTTTCTGCCATTGAAAAAAAAATTTGGTCAAAAATTGTTCGAGTTATGAATTTTGTTCGTACTTTTTCAAATTTTTTTTGTTTTTGATCTGGGCGGGTGAGAACACTGGTTATTAAATTTTTCTTTTTTAAAAACGCAATGGTCACATTTTGCAGAGCAATAATCCTTCTTTAATTTCTGATAAAAGAAAAAAAATTAGTAGAAAATTATTCGTGTTATTTATTTATATTTATTTCTGTACATTTGTATACCCGCGGAACTGTGCAACCGAGGGTTTTGATTTTTTTTTAATTTTTTCGAAACCAAATATTTCGAATAAAATATTTTATCTTGGGCAGAAATTAAAGACGGATTAATGCTCTTTAAATTGTGTTCATTCGAAATTTTTTTATAAATTTTTAATAGCCTGGGTTCCCACCCGCCTGATCAAAAAATTGAAAAATGTGAAAAAGTCAAAAAAAATTAATAAGTGGAACAATTTTTGACCAAATTTTGTTTTCTTTGTCAGAAATTAAAGAGGAAGTATTGCTCTCCAAAATGTGACCATTGCGTTTTTAAAAAAGAAAAATTTAATAACCAGCGTTCTCACCCGCCCGGATCAAAAACAAAAAAAATTTGAAAAAGTACGAAAAAAATTCATAACTAGGATAATTTTCGACCAAATTTTTTTTCAATGTCAGAAATTAGGTTGGAATTACTGCTCTTCAAATGGTGACCATTGCGAATTTTTTTTATAAACTTCTAATAGCCAGCGTTTTTACCCGCTTTATCAAA